CCAGCTCCCTGCTTGTGACCTGGAAAGCAGCCGAGGGCGGCCCAGAGCCTTGGAACCCTGCACCTGTGTGGGAGATCCAGAAGAAGCTCCTGGCTCTGGCTTCAGATTGTCCCAGCTCTGGTCAGTGCAACCATTTAGGAAGTGAACCTGAGGATGGAAGGTCTCTCTCTTTCTCGCTCTCTGTCTCTACAAATGTTTCAAATAATAATAATAATAAATCTTACTAAGGAAAAACAAAGCCCATACAGAGACAAAGAGAGGTGTGCTGGCCACTGTGCCTGTGTAACAGACCCCGAGAAGTTGGGATCCAGCTAGAATCAGAGCCCCTCATCGGCTCCTGGACCACAAAGGGGGGCCTCGCAACAGTGGGGGCAAGGCACAACTCTTCAAGAACGTCCTGCAGCCCTGTTGCCCCCTCACGCCTCGCGGGAGCCTCAGGAGGCCCTGAGGGGAACTGCTGCTCCCAGTCTTGACCAGGGGATACGGAGCAGGGAGACCCTGAAATGTTCCCACATGTCCCCTGCCCCGGCACAGGGCCCACAGACAGCATCCTTTCTGATCTCATGGCTGTCTCCCTTCCATCCCCTGACCAGTCCCACCTCCTCTCTGTTCCACAAGGAGCCTGCGTATCAAGGGGCCTGGTCACATTGCTCCTCTTCCTGGAGCTAAGGAGTATGCCTGCCCCCCGCCCAGCCCCCATCCACCTGCTGAATTCCCGCAGGAGGGAGGCCTGGGCTCCAGGTTCCACAGCCTCCCCAGGGCAGCTCAGGGCTTTACATAGAATATCCCCGTGGGCACAAGCGCTCCTCTGGCCAGCGTGGACTGATTCCAGAAGCCGGTAGAATGTGCCAGACCAGGATTGACTCCTGGCTGCTGTGCCCTCGGTTCTGACTCGGAGGAAAGACACACAAGGCCCAGGGCCTGGCACGGGTCTGCGCCCCACCCCAGACCATGGGATCAAATGCTCAGACACTCACGGTCCCAGGGCCACCTCCAGCTGCCCTGACAGGTGGACAGAGAGCGGGGACATTGTATCTTGGCGGGGACACAGTCCTCACTTGTTGTGCGTTGTAATGAGAGCCGGTTAATCTGATCAAACAGTCAGATGTGGGAAATTTTATCCTGCCTTGGGCTGCCCGGATTTCTGTCCCTTCACACTGAACGGCGATAAAAGCATCTCGCAGTTTGCAGGCCATCCACGTACGGCCTCTCTGAGGGTCGACAAATCCCGGGCATTCCCGCAAACACGTGGGGGCTGCCGATCGCTGTGTGCCGTTGTAGCAAGGGGCATACAGCCTTCTTTTTTTCTTTCTTAAGATTCATTTACTACTCTTGGAATCACAAAGAAGAATCACAGAGAGAGGGAGATGCAGAGAGAAAGATCTTCCATGCTCTAGGAAACTCCCCAAAAGGCCACAATGGCCAGGGCTGAGCTGATCTGAAACCAGGAGCCAGGAGCTTCTTCTGGATCTCCCAAGTGGGTGCAGGTTCCCAAAGCTTTGGGCTTCCCTTAATTGCTTTCCCAGGCCGCAACTAAGGAGCTGGAAGGGAAGTGGAGCAGCCGGGATACGAAACGGCATCCATATGGGATTTTGACACTCGCAAGTGGAAGATTAGCCTATTGAGCCATGGCACTAGGCCTGGGGAGTGCCGTTTTCAACAGACACAGACAGAGGCCAGGCCCCAAGAGGAAAGCATGCCTGCTTGAGGTGTTCATTTACATTTATTTATGAAACTCATTTACTTATAAGCGTATTTATTTGAAAGACAGCTAGAGACACGTTCTCCATCAGCTGGTTCACTCCCTTAAAGGCCTACCGAAGCCAAGCCAATGTTGGAAGCCCAGAGCTCCATCCGGCCATCCCACATTGCTCCCTCCTCAGCGCTCATTAGCTGGAAGGCGCAATCAGAAGCAGAGCCGAGATTCCAACCCAGACACTTCAATGTGACACACCGGGAGTTCTGCACCAGTGTCTTTGTTGGGCCTGGCACGGTAGCCTAGCAGCCAAAGTCCTCACCTTCCACGTGCTGGGATCCCACATGGGCGCTGGTTCATATCTTGACTTCCCATCCAGCACCCTGCTTGTGGCCTGGGAAAGCAGTCAAGGACAGCCTGAAACCTTGGGACCCTGCATCTGCGTGGGAGACCTGGAAGAAGCTCCGGGCTCCTGGCTTTGGAAAGGCGCAGCTCCAGCCACCATGGTCACTTAGGGAGTGAATCATCTGATGAAAAATCTCCCTGTCTTTCCTCCTCTCTGTATATCTAACTTTGCGATAAAAATACGTAAATCTCTTTTTAAAAAAAGAAGATTAATTTTTTAATTTGAAAGAGAGACACAAAAGGACCTTCCGTCTGCTGGTTTACTTCCAAGTTCACAGCCAGGGCTTGGGCAGGCCAAAGCCAGGAAGAGCCAGAAGGAGCCAGGAGGAGCCAGGAGGAGCCAGGAGCTCCAACTAGACTTCCCACATGCATGGCAGTGACCCAAGCAGCTGGACCATCCTCTGCCTCCTTCCTGGGTGCATGAGCAGGGAGCAGGATCAGAAGTGGAGGAGCCGGGACTTGAACCAGCACTGACATGGAATACGGGTGCCTGGAGTTCCACAGAGCCTGCTCTTAACCAGCATCTTAACTTGGTGTGTGAGACACCTGTTCAGACAGGTGCTTCTGAGATGTTGCAAGCGGCCCTTGCGAGCGAAGCCAGGGAGGCAGGGAAGAGACAAGCCTAAACTACAGCACACCATCTCAGGCTTCTGGGTCACCACCACGTCTACCCTAGGCAGGCTGCTCTCCTCTGGGTAGATTGGCTTTTTTTTTTTTAAGTGAAAATTTTACAGTTCATTTATTTATTTCAAAGGCATAGAGACACAAAGGCAGAAACAGAGAGAGCCCCTATGTGCTTGTTCACTCCCCAATGGCTGAGGCTGAGCCCGAACTCAAGTTGTGTGTGAGCTAAGAACTCAGTCCCAATCTGCACCGTGGGGAGCAGGCACCCAAACTACTTGAATCATTACCGTTGCCTCCTGGGGCCTGAATTTGCAGGACACGAGAGCAGCGTGGGGACCCGAACCCAGATACTGTGATCTATGGCAGGGTGGCATCTTGATAGGGACATCAAATGCCTGCCCCACCGAGGCTGCTGCTGCTGCCAGCCTGCCATGTGGCTCTTGTCTGCCTGGTCGGGCACTTGTGTCCTGTGGCCTCGGGGTGTTCTGGGTGATGAGGGCCAGCAGTTTGGAACCCTTTAGCACCTGTGGTCCAGGGGTGGGGGTGTGAAAGGGCTTGGTGTGACAGGAGGGACAACTGGTATACCTGCCCCTATGCCATGGCCATCAAGATGCCCTGAAGGCCATGCCCCTTTCTGGGGGCCTCCTGCTGGCACCACTTGTCCACCACACCCTCTCACTGCATCCCTGCCCTGGCGTGGCAAGTGCTGCTCAGTGGCCTCCTTCCCTGGGTAGATGGGGGTTCCCTGAGGACAGGGATTTCATGGGGCTCTCATTCAGCTGTTAACAGCTTCGGCCCCACTTCCAGAGCACCGCATGCCCAAGGGCAGGAGAGAGCTGGCACCAGATGCCACCTGCAGGAAGACGCCCACATTACTCCTGCCTCAGCCGCTGTGCCCAGCCTCTTCTTGAGTCATGGCCCCTACAGCCTGCTCCCAGTGTTGGTAAGAACTTTCTTTCTGGACTCTGAGTCCTCGGCCTCTGTTCTGGCCCATCTCCTTTCCTCCAGCTTTTGGTCCAGAGGTCACGACACTTAGGTCCCACATCGCAGTGCTCAAGTTCAATTCCCAGCTCCAGCTCCTGACTCCAGCCTCATGCTCAGGCAAACCCGGGAGGCAATGATGGCGGCCCAAGAAGTCGGGTTCCTGCCACTCAATGGGAGATGCACCTTAGGTTCTTGGCTCCCACTTTGGCCAAGCCCCGTAGGCCTAGTGTGGACAGCTGGGAAATGCTGCAAGCTGTGTGTGGGTGTTTGTGCATATCCATCTTTCTCTATCTACCAAATAATTATACTTAAATTATAAGTAAACCAGCCAAACAGAACGAAGCCACCACAGTCTGAGCTGGGGTGACTGCAGCCTAGTCCCTTCCCACAACCCCTCATCTCTCAGTACGCACGTTAACCTGGCATGAAGGACAAACATCAGCTCAATCTCTTTTTAGTCCCGCCTCCTGAGACAAACCCACGCCCCAGCGGCACCAGAGACCCCAACAAAGCATGCCTGCCTTCACACCCTGCCTCTGCCCTCTCCTCTTCTGGGAATGCCCTCTGGGGCACTCCCCATCCAAGGCCCAGCTCCAAGGTTACCAGGCCTGTGGACCAGTCCCAGCCATGGCCAGGAACATAACAGAACCAATGCTTAGGGCCCGGCTCGTGGCGTGGCACGAGACACTTTCACCTGTGGCATCAGCATCCGATAGGGGTAGCAGATCGAGTCCAGGCCACTCGATTTCCAATGCAATTCCCTGCTGATGCATCTTGGAGAAGCAGTCGAAGACAGCCCAAGTGCTTGACCCCTGCACTCATGGGGGGACCGAGAAGAAGCTCCTGGCTTTGGGCTGGTACAGCCCCAGGCACTGCGGCTATCTGGGGAGTGAACCAGCAGATGCAAAATTTCTCTCTCTGTCTCCACCTCTCTCTCAACAATTCTGCCTTTCAAATAACAAAAATAAATCTTTAAAAAAAAATATATATATATATATATATAAAGAGCTTCAAGCAAGAAATATGGTCTCACAGACTCCTACCCTCTGGTCTTACCTCTAGTCTCCAGCTTGGAGGCGAAAGTGGAGTGCAACAAAACCCAAGCTTGTTCTAGGAATGTAAGGTGCCTGTTCTCCCATCCCCCACCTGCCTCCTTACTGCTCCTGGACCTTCTGGTGGGCTGTGACACCAGGGACCTGGTCAGGAGCCGGCACCTGGCTCCCTCGAGGGAAGCTGCCACCTTCCCAGAGCGCCCGTGGCAGGCCCTGGCCTGGGGCCCGTCTCGCCTCACCGTCTGTGCTGGCATCATCCACCAGGATGATCTCCCGCAGCAGGATGGCAGGGGCGGTGTGCAGCACGCTGTACACCGTCCGCAGCAGTGTGGACCACGCTTCGTTGTGGAACACGATGATGACGCTCGTGGTGGGCAAGGGTGGGCAGCGCCGGAACTTCTGGTCGACACATCTGGAAGGAGCAGAGGATGGGCAGATGTGCACAGCTGTCCAGAACCCTGTCCAGGTGGGGTAGCAGGGACGTGGGAGGGCCTTGTTCCCTGTCCCCAGCTCCCCTCACATCTGCACCTGCTCCTGGCCTCTGCCCAGGCCCAGCTCCTCCCTGCCCCATGGGCTCTCTGCAGGGAGCAAGCAGCCCTGTGATGTATGCATGGCGGAGTGTGATCCGACCCCGAGCCCCAGCGGGCAGACTTGGCCATCTGAGCAGAGTGGCCGCTGCTCATGGCGGGGAGCTAGGAGAGGCTCTTCCCCGCTTCCTCAGCACCTCCCTGCACTCTGATGGTACAGTCACCAATGGCTACCTATCTCCTCTGACCTCTCCTTGATCCCTCGGGGGGCACTTGGCCATGCTGCCACCATGGGGTGGGAGGAGGAGCAATGCTGACTTGAAGGTAGCACGTGGCTCCTCTGCTGACCGTGAGATCCCTCATGGCCCCCCCAGGGAGTCCCCTGCTTGCTCCAGGGCCTCCTCTCTGCCTAGCACCCTTCTCTGTGAAGACCTCCTGCTGGCACCAAGGGACAATTCATTCTAGACCCAAAAACACTCCAGTGTGAAGCTCTCCAGACCCATGGGGGCTGTCACTGCAGTGTAGTAGGTTAAGCTTTCGTACAGACTCTGGTTCAAGTCCCAGCTGCTCCACTTTACACTCAACTCCCTGCTAATGTGCCTGGGAAAACAGCAGAAGATGGCCCTGCCACCCACGTGGGATCCTAGGCTTCTGTCTTCAGCCTGGCACAGCTCCAGCTGGTGTGGCAATTTGGGGAGTGAATTAGCAGATGGAGGATTTCTCTCTGTTGCTCCCTCTCTCTGTAACTTTGTCTTTCAAATAACAAAATAAAATCATAAAAAAAAAGAGGGGTCAACACTGTGGCATAGTAGTTTAAGCTTCTGTCTGCAGCACTGGCATACTATATGGGTGTTAGTTCAAGTCCTTGTCGCTCCACTTCTGATCCTGCCCCTGGGAAAGCAGTGGAGGATGGCTCAAGTGCTTGGGCCCCTGCATCCGCATGGGAGAGCCAGAAAAAGCTCCTGGCTTTGGGCCAATCCAGTTCTGGCTATTACAACCATCTGGGAAGTGAACCAGTGAATAGAACATCTCTCTCATTGTCTCTTCATCTCGCTCTGCAACCCTGCCTTACAAATAAATAAATAAATATATATATAAATAAATATATATATATATTTTAAGGAAAGCAATGAGGGCTCAGCAGCAACCCTTGTCTCTGTTCTCAGCCTGGCAGCTCTCTGCCTGGCACTGGGCCCGGGGCCTTTGCCACACGGGCCTCCCTGCTCCGATGCCAGCTGCTTGCTACTCACTCTGGAGGCCGGGTGTCTGGGCCCAGGGCCCTCTGCAGGGAGATGCGGTCGCTGGCGAAGGCGTTGAAGCAGTGCTTTTTGTAGCCCTCCTCTTTCTCCTGCTTCTCCTGCGGCGTCCACTCGCTCTTGTGGAACGCCTTCCCGTCCGCTCCGGGGCTTTTGGGGTCCTGCGGCGGCCGCTCCCAGAAGGGCTTCAGTTCAGCAGGGCTATAGAAGCCGGGCAGGCAGGAGCGGTTGGTGGGAGCCTGTGTCTGCTGGGGCTCCGGAGCCCGGATCTGCAGCTTGGGCATGGAGTCCCGGAGGTTGTTCATGGCGCCCAGCATGAGGTCCAGCATGTGGCCCTTCTGGCCCACCAGTGAGTTCAGCCACGGCTTCTCGGTGGCCTGCTCCCTGCTGCTCACGTCCCGTTGCATGATGAAGAGGAAGAGCAGGAAGGCACTGCCGGCCACGGCCAGGCGCAGTGGCATGTGGCGCCTGCGGAGCAGCCTCATGCTGCAGGACTGGGAGTCCGGCCCTGGAAGCGGCGCGCTCTGTCCCGGCCGGCCTCAGCCTGAGAAGGGAGCGGAGTGAGACAGCAGTGAGCCGAGGTCGGGGTAGGGTCCATGGGGTGCTGCGTCGTCGGGGACCCCAGTCAGAGGAGCTGTCACTGCCTGCCTGGTGGCATTGCTTCACACAGCCACAATCACCCTAGGCCTCAATTATCCTTTTCTATAAATTGAGGACACCGGATCCAGTGTTTTTTATTTCTCACAGCAATAGACTTACATCACTGGCACACTGAAATTCTATGTGAATAATCATTTTCTTAAACCTCATTTATTTAGTTTGCAAGCCAGAGAAAGAAGAGAGGAGGCAGGGGACAGGAGGGGACAGAGAGATCTTCCATCTGCTGGTCCACTCTCTAAATGGCCACAATGGCCAGAGCTCAGCTGATCCGAAGCCAGGAGCCAGGCGCTTCTTCTGGATCCTTCATTTGGGCACAAGGTCCCAATGACTTCATCCTCTGCTGCTTCCCCAGGCCATAAGCAGACAGTTGGATCAGAAGTGGAACAGCCAGGACTTGAACCAGTGCCCACATGGGGTGCTGGTGCACAGGCAGAAGATAGGCCGGATAAGCCACTGGCTCCATGAAAAGTTTCTTCTAATAATAATACAAAAATTATTTATTTGACAGAGCTTCCATCTGCCGATTCATTCTGCAAATGCTCTGGGACTGCCACCAGGAGTCAAAACTCCATCCACGTCTCCCATGTGGGTGACAGCATCACCTGTGCCTCCCAGTATCTGCCCTTGCAGGAAGCTGGAGCTGGGAGCCGGAGCCGGGGTTATCTCCGCGTAGAAAGGCAGGCTCAGCTAAACACCTGCCCCGACAGGAAGCAATTCAATCGACAGAGCCACTTGGGAAAACAACCTGGTCCTAGCAAGTAAAAAGTCAGATGAACCAGTATTTCCAATGCAAGTTTCATTTCCAAGATAAACTGTGGTTCCTGTACACCAGGAGGCACAGATAAGAATATCTATGACAGCGCGGATTGAAGTGGCACCACCGGGCAACCAGGGGATGGGGATGGGCCACACGTAAATCCGCCAGCGGGAGAATGCGTGAAACAGCTGCACCCTGGGTTTCCCTACAGCCCTGACACACAACAAGCCACTTCTCCCTGTAGCGATGCAGACCGAGGTTGGCTGAGGGAAAAAAAAAATAAAGTTGCAGAAAGATACACAGGATGATCTCATTTAAGAGGGAATGGGAAAGCTTGCAGAAGTGCAACAATGTACTGCACATACACGCCAGGAGACTAGAGGATGGAGCAGGTGTTTGGCGCACCAGCTGACCAGTGCAGATGCTGCTCGGGTGACACCTGCCGCCCACAGTGAAGCGCCTGAGCTGAAATGCAGGTCCACTTCTGGTCCGGCTTCCTGAAGATGTGCATGCTGGGAGGCAGCGGGTGACCGTCCCTTGGGTCCCTGACACCTACACAGGAGATGAGGACTGAGTTCCTGGCTCCCAGCTCTGGCCTGACGCGGTCCTGGCTGTGGTATTTATCTAGAGGAGTGAACCTGTGATGGAAGATCTCTCTGTCTGCCTTTCAAGTGAGGCAAAATTAAAAAAAAAAAATACAATCTCTAAAGAAATTCTACAACTAAAGTCTCTGAAGAGTGAGGAAAAGTTCTAGAAGTAAGGCGCATATATATATATATATATATTTTAACTATGATTTATTTATTTTTATTGAAAAGTCACATATACAGAGGAGGAGAGACAGAGAGGAAGATCTTCCGTCTGATGATTCACTCTCTAAGTGATCACAACAGCCAGAGCTAAGCCAAACTGAAACCAGAAGCCAGGAGCCTCCTTCGGGTTTGCAATGCAGGTGCAGGGTCCCAAGGTTTTGGGCAGTCCTCTACTACCTTCCCAGGCCACAAGCAGGGAGCTGGATGGGATGTAGGGCTGTCGGGATTAGAACTGGTGGCCCTATGGGATCCTGTGCATGCAAGGCGAGGCTTTTAGCCGCCAGGCTGCTACGCTGGGCCCAGGCATATTTCTTGCAGTGGACAGTGCCTACTGATGCTGTCCTTCGTTCTCATGTACCACGTGTACGGTACACACCTTCTTCTGCATTTCCTTGCATTTAGTAAACAGAATTTTGTTTGCTGGAACCATGGCACATCACACTAAGCCTCTGCCTGTGCTGCTGGCATCCCATAGAGGTGCTGGTTTTTTGAGTCTTGGCTGCTTCACTTCCGACTCAGCTTCTCTTCATGCCTGAGACAGCATTGGAGGCTGGCTCAAGTCCTTGGGACCCTGCACCTGTGTGGGAGACACAGAGGAAGCTCCTAGCTCCTGGCTTTGGATTGGCTCAGGTCTGGCTATTGTGATCATTTGGGGAGTGAACCAGTAGCTGGGAGATGTCTCGTTCTCTAAGTAACTCTGCTTTTTAAATACAATTTTAAAAATCTCAGGCCCAGCACAATAGCCTAATGGTTAAAGCCCTGCCTTGCATGTGCTAGGATCCCATATGGGCATCTGTGTCCCAGCTGCTCCACTTCCCATCCAGCTCCCTGCTTGTGATCTAGGAAAGCAGTCGAGGACAGCCCAAAGCCTTGGGACCCTGCACCCGTGTGGGAGACCTGGAAGAGCTCCTTGCTCCTGGCTTCAGATCAGCTCATCTTCGGCTGTTGCAGCCACTTGGGGAGCGAACCAGAGGATGAAAGATCTTCCTCTCTGTCTCTCCTTCTCTCTGTAAATCTGCCTTTCCAATAAAAGTAAATAAATCTTTAAAAAATTTGAGAGAACTTTTATAAAATCTGAGATTCCACGACAATACCTTCCAGGAGGGGTGTTCACTGGGCTGCCCAAGTTCAAGGGATTATTGGCAAGTGGCTACACCACATTCTAGAAGAATGCTGGGTGAGCCCTGGGGTTGATGGTAAGAGGGCTGCCCCCTACAGTATCAGCGCTGGCCTGCCTCCTGGGACGGTCACAAGGACGAACTTTGGAAAAGCAGCCCAGAGCTCAGTGGCACAAAGCAAGTCCTCAGAAGGTGTCTGTCCTTATCATCTGTAACTGGGTAATCCCTGGGTGCTTAGCTTAATCCCTCTAAGCCTCAATTTCCTTATCTATAAAATGGGTTTAACTAGAACCTATCTCACAGTGGCAAGGAGCCAATTGGAGAACATTAGTACAATCCTCGGCAGAGTGCCTGTCTGACATGGGAACCTGGAGCAAGCAGCAAGGGTTTCCATTAGAAGGATGAGGCCCTGCTCAGAGGCCCTCCAGGGCTCCCCAGGCACCCCACTCACCCTCTTCTGCACATTTTGCTCAACAATAACTCCGCTGGAGCTCTTAGATGCACAAGTTGGGGAAGTTGATGCTGGCGCCCTGGAATCTGGGCACCACACTGCTGTCTTTTTTTTTTTTTTTAAGATCTATTTATTTGTATTAGAAAGGCATTTTTACAGAAAGAGAGAAAAAGATCTTCCACCCACTGGTTCACTCCCCACATGGCCGCAACAGCCAGAACTGAGCTGATCCAAAACAGGGAGCCAGGATCCTCTTCCAGGTCTCCCTCAGGTACGCAGGGCCCCAAGGCTTTGGGTCATCTTCCACTGCTTTCCCAGGGAGCTGCATGGAAAGTGGAGCATCTGGGACATGAACCGGCACCCATATAGGCTGCTGGCGCTTGACGGTGGAGGATTAGCTAGTTGAGTCATTGCAGCAACCCTAAGGTCTTGACCTCGGTGGACAGCAGGCCTCCTTCTGGGCTGGCTGGAGGGCGCGGTGGGATATGCACGTTCTCCCGTCAGTATCGACAGCACGAGGCAAGTAAGAGAGCTCTCTCTGAGCATCTTTCGCTGTCGAGTGGTGGAAGGAAAGACGTGATCACTCCACCAGCACCTGCTCATGTATTTGACACCTGCTAAGTGCCAGGCCCCTGGTGAGACATGAGAAATGCAACAATGAGCAAGTCCAGCCTCCTGGGAACACACACACACCGATGGCAAGTCAGACTTTCAACAGGGATCACCCAGCAAGAAGGCAGCCCAGGAAGGCGCCCTTGGGTGCTCTAGGATGGGGGTGGTACAAACCAAGCAAACGTGGGGAGGGCGATGTGTGTGGATAAGCGTGGCAAGGGGAGCAGGGCTAGGCAGGATGAAGTGAGTACAGGCCAAGCCCGGGGTGGCACGTGCAGAGGCCAGAGGGGGCACTTGGCATGGCCAGCCAGAGGCTGCACCTGGCTCAGGACCACGGGAGCAGCAGACGGTGAGCTCGGAGAGCGACTGAAGGCGAGTCATGAGAGCCTTGTTCGCTGTGCCAAGGAATTTGCCCTTGACCTCGGGTAAGCAGAGTAGCAAAGGAAGAGCCGGCCCTGTAGAAGGGGGCTGTAGGTAGGGGCAAGCACACAGGGCTTGCGCCTGCGTGGAAGCTGCGAGGTCTGGTAAAGTGGGGCCGGGGGCCGGAAGTCAGAGAGCAGCCACGGTGCTGCTGGTGGAGGAGGTGGCGGTACATGCAGGATGCTCGTGGGTGACAGGATGAGGCGGCTTCCCCGGTTTAGAACACAGTGGGAAACAAAGGGGCTTGGCATACAATTCCTTTCCCTAGAGAAGCTTTAAATCTCACCAGTGAACAATCAGTGGGAGGCCGGGCATGGCGGGGTAACCTAGTGGCTAAAGTCGTCACTTTGTGCACGCCCAGGATCCCATATGGATGCCAGTTCTAGTCCAGGCGGCCCCGCTTCCCATCCAGCTCCCTGCCTGTGGCCTGGGAAAGCAGTCGAGGACGGCTCAAAGCCTTGGGAGACACAGAAAAAGCTCCGGGTTCCTGGCTTCAGATCGGTTCAGCTCCAGCCACTGCAGCCACTTGGGGAGTGAACCAGAGGACGGAAGATCTTCCTCTCTGTATATCTGACTTTCCAATAAAAATAAATAAATCTTAAAAAAAAAAAAAAAGTACAAGAAGTAGAAGTGGGAGGAGACGGGGCAGGAAAAGACCTGGAGAGAAGCTGTCCGTCTCTCGGGCCCATGGAGAAGGATCGTGTTGCAAAGGAGGCTCCAGGAGGCAGAGGGGACGCGGCCGAGGGGCAGCTTCCTATCCCAGGGGTCAAGCTCACAGCTAGGCCCCCAGCTCAGGTGCTTCCACTTGAGCTCATCGCATCCATTCTGCCCAGACTGCAGAATGGATGGGACGCAGGAGAGGTGGCGTGTGTGCCTGCCGTGGCCCGCCCCACCCTCCTGCAGCTGGGTCTTTCTAGAAAACTTTCTGTCTACCCCTGCTCTGGCAAGAAAGAGCGAGCCCGGATACAAACAAAGGAACAGGTACCTTAGTCACTCGCTGTCACGCTGCTCAGACTCACCTCCTCCAGGAAGGCCTCCCTGACTGACCAGCTGAGATCACTTGCCTGGATCACCCCTACTCCCTCATCCTCGGCCAGCGGGCACTGCCTCGGGAGGTTTCTCTCGGAGGCGGTGAGGTTCCTCTGGGATGTTTGCTGGAGAAAGGCAAGAGCTGAGAGGAGCTCTTCCCGGCCTACAGCCTGGCTGCGTTCAAGCCAGTTTTCCGGAATAATCTGCAGAACCTCCAGCTACAGGACACATCCTGGAAAGAAAGGAGATCTGCAATTAGTGTGCGCGCTCCCGACACTGTTTGCTCAGCACACAGGGCCACGAGCGAGCGTCCCTTGGAACAGGCACGGACCACAAGAAGCCACGGGCTCCTGTTCTCTGTGCTCCTGCAGCGCGGGGCGCTCGGGCTGGGGCGCCTACCGGCCCCCTCGCTCACCTCCTGCGTCTACCGAGCCATCACTCCCAGTGTTTTCCCTACGGCCACAGTCAGCCCTGGGCCTGCAATGCGCCAGCCCACATTCTCCCAATGCTGAGGTGTTATCACAAATCCCCTTCCTCTGAGAAGCCCTCCTGGACTGAACATGTTGGACCTCATCCTGGCTCTTCCGGCCGCAGCAAACCGCCGACTATAAATCATTATGGTGCTATAAAATAAATTTAGAGTGCTACAAATTTTCAGATGAAAAACAATTTTTTTTTAAAAGAAAGATTTATTTATTTGAAAGGCAGAGTTACACACAGGGAGAGACAAAGAAATCTTTCCCAAATGGCCCCAATAGCCTTGGCTCGGCCAGCCCAAAGCCAGCAGCCAGGAGCCTCTTCCGAGCTTCCCATGTGGCATCAGGGGCTCAAGGCCTTCCCCAGCACATTAGCAGGGAGCTGGATCAAAGTGGAGTAGCCGGTTCTCGAAACCCATACCCATACGGGATGCTGGTGGTGGCTTAGCACGCTATGCCACAACGCCAGCCCCCCAAAAGTTCTTTAAGACTAGTATAGAACAGAATGAAACAGAAAACATCACGAGCTGTCTTAGGACACCTGGACAGATATTCTTTAGTTTTAGTATTGATTTCAGTTGTTATTTATACACGCAGAGAAAATACCTGAAGTCTCAGAGCACGTTGGGCTTGAATAGCTTCAGACGTATAAATGCGATAGACTTAAAGAATGTTGTTGGGCCCAGCGCGGTAGCCTAGTAACTAAAGTCCTTGACTTGCATATGCCAGAATTCCATATGGGCGCCGGTGCATGTCCCGGCTGCCACACTTCCCATCTAGCTCCCTGCTTGCGGCAGAGGCCCGCACCTGTGTGGGAGATCCAGAAGAAGTTCCTGGCTCCTGGCTTCAGATCGGCTCAGCTCTGGCCGTTGCGGCCACCTGAGTAAGTCCCTAAAAAAATGTTTTTTAGGCAAGTTTTACTAAATATATTATGCTTTCATGTAGTTTTGTCAATGTTGAACACATTTTTATCTTCATTTTTTATTTCAGCTCATTGACAAACATCGCCTCATACAAAATGAAACTAAAATTATTATTCAAAATTGAGCAGCGGGTACTCTCCATGGGAGACCCGGCAGAAGCTCCTGTCTCCTGCCTTCACATTGGTCCAGTGCCAGCCGCTATGGCCATGTAAGCAAGGAGCCAGCAGATGGAAGATCTCTCTGTGTGTCTCCTCAACAACTATAATAAAAATAAATCTTTTAAAATAAGATTTATTTATTTTTACTGAAAAGGCTACACCAGTGCAAGAAAGTCCTCTCTCTCTTTGTTTCACTCTGTCGAAATAGGATGAAAATAAATAAATAAATGAAAACTTAAAAACCCAATGGTTAAAAACCGAGTGGCTAAAGTCCTCACCTTGCACGCACTGGGATCCCGTGTGGATATCAGTTCTAATCCCGGCAGCTCTACTTCCCATTCAGCTCCCTGCTTGTGGCCTGAGAAAGCAGTCGAGGCCTTGGGACCCTGCACCGGTGTGGGAGACCTGGAAGAGGCTCCTGGCTCCTGATCAGCACAGCTTTGGCCATTGCAGCCATTTGGGCAATCAGCAGATGGGAGAGCTTTCTCTCCTTCTCTCTTTATCTGACTTTCAAATAAAAATAAATCTTTAAAAATAAAATAAATCCTTTCAAGATTTGTGATGTAAAATGCATAAGGCTAGAGGTAAAAAGACATTTAAATAATTAAAATGTCAACGGATTTTTTTGGGGGGGGCAGTTTGTGGGATCAATACTTGCAATGTTGAAGTTTTGGGATGCAGATGTAGGTAGCAGGTCTAACTGTCACCCGTCTGACAGCCAGAGATACAGTTCAATTCCAGCAGGTTAAATTCTAGCATTTTCCAGGAAGCTTTCCTAGATTTCCCTGCAGGAAGAAGGCTCCTTGCCCAGCCTGCCTGCTCCCCAGCCTCACAGCCTGCCTCACCTTGGGTTGGAGGTGTCACTGGTCCCTCACCCACTAAGACAACCTATGGGGAGCTGAAAGGCCAGCCTGTCTCCACCTTTTTATCACTTGGCTCACATCTGGACCCCACAGATGCTACATAAGCTTTTGCTAACGACATGAAGTCAGCGGGCTTAACCTCAACCGCAAGCACCGGCTTCCCTTAACGGCGCCTGAAGACACGCCCCCCCACAAAGAGTTGAATTATGTGATGGTCTGCTGTGACAGATTTGCTTGCCACTTTTTTGCATTTAAATGCTCACAACGGCTAGGGCGGGGCTGAGGTCAGGAGCCTAGAGTCCAATTTGGGTCTCCCTTAAGCCATCACCTGCTGCCTCCCCAGAGTGCCCTTGCAAAGAGGAAACTTGAATCAGAGACCTGGATGCAGGATGCTGAGGTCCCAATCGGCAGTTTACCTGCTACGCCAAGTGCCCGCTCCTCACCGGCCATCTTGACCAGGCCTGTGTGCCTGAGACCAGTGCCCTCACGGTGCAGGGTGAGGCCGGTGCGGTCAGGTGATCCTAACCTTAACCTAGTGGCTTCCCCGCGGTTCACCACGCTCGCCTCCCATCCTGGAGAACCAGAGAGGGGACTGATTTGCAGACCAACCCCATCCCCAGGCTGAGCTGAACCCCGCTGCTTTCCTGGGCAGCCCCGCCCCACTCTCAGGCCCCGCCCTCCACCGTCACCTACCTAAGGACACAGATGCTTTCAAGATGAGGTACAGGCAAGCTTTTGAGAAAGTCAGGGTCAGCCACCCAGGGCCCACTCCCTGCCTGGCCAGGTGGCCTCCCAGCAACCCACTTTCTTCCTGTTTACCAATAGGGCCTTTTACCTCCGGGAGGGACACGTGGCAGCAGGAAGCCAACAGCCCACCCCCCCAGGTTCCCCAGGCGACGGTTCAATTACAGGTTTCTTCCCAAAGTGACTTGGCTGGCACAGCTCCCACCGGGGCTGCAGGTGCAGGCCCGCTGCTTGCTCCCAGGAAACACAGCCCTCTTCTCACCTCTGCGCTCACTCCACGAACACAGGAATGTTCCTGCTGTCCTCCCCACACCCCACTCTGACCCCATGGGTCACAGAGCCCCAGGATGCTCGCCCCTTGCCTGTAACTGCCCTCTAAGACACCTCAGTTGTTTTTTTTCCCCCCCCCCCAAGATTGCCAACTGCATCCTCTGTGGTTTCTCTTCCCAGGGAGATGTCCTGCAGGTTTTTTTCCGGAGCCCATGTGCAAGTTCAACTGCAACACAGCCCGCTTCAGTACACGTGTGCGCAAGATGTCAGGCTGAAATCGAACGGGGATTTTTTTCTCCTTTCCCCAGTGGAAAACAATCAACCTGTCTGTGCTCTCCACGGCATACGGAGCACAGTGACTGGCATCAAGATAACCACTCACTAAGCATTTGTTGACTTGCCCCAAAGAAAAGTCACTGAGATGCAAAACAACAGGCGACAAAACAGGCATAGTTCATCAGCGCACCAGGTACTCGCTGGCTGCCCTGCTGGCCCTGGGTGGGACAGAGGTGGACAACTGGCTGCTACACCTGCCACAGCTGGGGAGCGGACAGGCTTCTGCGCAACAGTCACACTGCAAACAGGGGAGTCCGCGATGCTGCTGCCCAGCCCCTCGCTAGCCAGCCTTCCCCATCTCCCCACAGCCGGCCAGGGCACAGAACCACACAGTCCCTGCCCCACTCCCAGGCGGGAGGCCTTGAACGGCTGCTCACTGCAGGGCACTCCACACGCCACCCACCCCCAAATCCTGCTGACTCACGCCCTGCTCCTCTTTCTAGTCTGAAACCTCCTGCTTATCGCATCCAGAGGCCTGGCAGCAGCTGCCGTTGGCGGGCGGCTCCCCCGCACCTCCTTTCACAATCTCGGGAGAGCGCCTGTTCCCATTTGGATTCCTTTGGCCTGGGCGGCCTGCTTCCTGTTTGCTCTTTGCCCCCAAGCCTGAGCAGATGGCTAGGCATCTAGGCATCGGCTGTCATTTCCTCCTCTAAGCCTCTCCCTTACGGGACCGCTGGACAAGCCCCGTTTCTGCCTCTTTGACATCAGCTCTCGCAGGCCACGCGAAGCAGCACCCAGACCTATTTATCTGGCTTCCCCAGGCGGGGCTTCCTCCTTGTATCCTATAGAGGAAGGACCAACCAGCAAGCCGAGGCATTTGTCTCCTCTATTCCTTCTCCTGCTTGATCCTTAAATCCTGTTCTCTGAACTTCAACTTCGCACCCAAGCTGCCAGGCCCCCCGTGTCTGCAGCCTCCTCCATGCCATGTCACTGCTGGCCCTCTGTCCTCAGCTGTCCCTCACAAGCAGAGGTGAGCGGGGACGCTGGCTCTCATCCTTCCTTCATACCTCTCCCTGGGACTCCGGAACAGGTGCGCAGGGTCCAAGAGAAACACTCGCTGCCCTAGGGCTGTCAGGTGGCATCAAAGAGCCTTGCTAACCCTGGGTTCTACCTCGGACTGAGCCCGGCTTGTTACATGCCTTCGCACACAATTAAGCATTGAGCTCAGCTCGGAGACAGGCACTGCCCCGCACTTGACCTCCTGCCTATTCAATTCCTCACTCACATCTCCTCCAGCAACAGTTGACATTTGGGGCTTCCCCAAAGGCGCAGAGAGCAGTAGGAAGATCAGAGTTCCCCCAAGTTTATGGGCAGGCGGGCCATCTCCTGGCTCTCTGTCCTGCCTCCACCCCAGCCTCTGCGTCACTGACAGGACAGGAGGTGCTGGGGGCAGTCCCAGGAGGGTTAGCATAAAACCATGGTCATTTTTTTTTTTAACAGGACTGCTTACCCTAGCAAGTTCCAGCTGGATTCTCTGTTTTAGACAGAGACAACCAGGAGATGGGACAGTTAAAGATCTTGGCCAATGAAACAGCAGGGGCAGAATTTGCACTCAAGCCTGGGTGTCTCCAAAGCCTGCTTGCTTACCCATGACACCTCATTGTCTCGCATCCGGCTGGCCGGTGCCTGGAGCTGGGCCAAGGTACTCCCATGTACACCGTGTCATTTGCTCCCCACCCAGGGAGTGTTTATGTGATTTGGCCATAGCTCCCCACTGCTAATCGAGCCACAGAGCTGACTCAGATGGGCTTGCTCCGCGGTCGGCGGCTGCTCCTGGTCCTGACTACTGTACCAGGCAATGGCTACACGCTCTCAAGCCCGTGGTTCTGTCTTCTGCCCGCATTCCTTCTCCCTGTTGGTCTCAGGCCAGGGTGTTTTTGATCTAGGGGGGCACCCGACATGCATGGTGCCTCCCCTCCTCCGACCTGAGCCCTTCCACCCCGTCTGGGAGGCAGCTGTGTGCCAGGCCGGCTGTGGCAGAGTGACTCCTCAGTGCCCAGCGTGCCACACATGTCACCAGCCCCACACTTCCCTCTTTGCTCTGACAACACTGTCCACCCACTGCCCTGGAAATGGCTCCTGTAACTGTGCCCTTACAGCGTACGGCATCAGGGCTGGCGCAGTAGCATAGAAGGCTAAGTCTCCACCCACAGCGCTGACATCCCCTGAGTTATGTGCCAGCTGCTCCACTTCCCATCCAGCTCCCTGCTTATGGACTGGGAAAAGAGTGGAGGATGGCTCAAGTCTTTGGACCCCCGTACTCATGTGGGAGACATGAAGGAAGCTCCTGGCTCCTGGTTTAGGTTCAGTTCACTTCCAACCATTGTAGCCATTTGGGGAGTGAGCCAGTGGATGGAAGATCTCTCACCTCCTCTCTCTATAACTTTTTCGAATTAAATAAATAAACCTTAAAAAAGAAGTGTGTGTGTGTGTGTGTGTGTGTGTGTGTGTCGGGGGTTATGGCATCCTCAAGGACACTGCGCGATGCACATTGTCACTTTGGGCAACTTGGGCCCAACAGCAGTTCAAACTGTACATCTTACCTAGCTCCATTCATCACAGGGGTTGGTCTGTCTCCTCCTGGTGGCCGTCTGAGGGGCAAAGACACAACTCAGGGGGCTGGAGAGAACAGGCAGTGCAGAGTGTTCACACACACACACACACACACACACACACACACACACACACCTTATGGGAAAGGGAGCCTGTGTCTTCATGCTCTCTGGTGTCTGGAGCCAGCAGCCTCACCCAGCCAAGCACAAGGGGCTTGGAGCCTGAGGGGTGCCCCAGATGCACACCTGCCCTCGGGGCAGGGGTGGCCCAGGGGCACTGGCTAATGGCAGGCTCTGCTCCAAGCTAGATGGCCACTAGTCCTGCATCTACCCTCAGCGCAGACCCTCTGGGTCTTCAGTGACTGTCCTTGGGGCGGGGGGCAGCCTCCTGCTGTTTCTCTTTTCTGTCAGCCTGGGATTTGGAACAAATGAGAGAAACCAGGAAGTTGGCGACAGTCACACTCAGGAACACCCATCTGACTCCCTCCCCCACACGGCTGCACAAGCAGCCCTAGTACCTCAAAGGCCCACGGTCCCGCAAGGCAGCTCAAGCAAGCACCATGACTCCTCCTGGCAGGCTCTGTTCTGCCCAGGAGCAGCGTGGCACCCAGAGGAAGCAAGACTTTCGTGGCCCAGGGCACGTGGAGTGGGGGTGACCCAACGTGCGCAGCCACGAGCACACGGTATATGGGGACAGGAGACAGGATGAGTGAGGGGAAGAGGGTGTGAGCCCTGAAGGGCGGGCAGCCCCCACCCCGGCTCTCCCACCTCGCCATCGTCTCCCCTCCTCCCAGCGGATCCCGGAGGTCTGGGCTGCCCCATTCATCGCCCAGTTCTGAGAAGCTCCAAGGCGCCGGCGCCGGGTCGGGGAAGCCCAGAGGAGGAGGAGCTGGAGGCCCCCGCGATCCGCAGGCAGCCGGGGCAGGAGGAGCCGGCCCGTTGGGGGTGCAGGTGGGGCGCGAGGGCTTGTCAGCGCCGCGCTGGACGGCAAGGAAGACCCGAGGAGCCAGGGCGAGGAAGGGGACTCCCGGCGCGCAGGCGGGGCAGGGACCCCGGGCTTACCTGTGACGCCGTGGCCGAGCTGCACCCTCATCGCCGGGCGGGCCGCGCGCCGAGGTCCCGACGGGACGGCTGGGGGCGGACCCCGGGGCGGGCCCTGCACCGCCGGCCGCGCTCCGCCGCTCCGCCCCGCCCGCCGCCAGGTGCGGCCCCGGGCCACCGCGGTCCACCCCGGGCCACGCCGTCGCCGTCGGGGCCGCACACTGGGCGCCGGGGACGCTCGAGGGGCACCCTCGCCACCTCCCGGAGAGCGCAGCTGGCCGCCGGCGACGCGCGCACGGGCCAGCGCGGCGAGAGCGCTCCGGGTCCCCGGGCCTCGGCGCACTGGACGGCGCCCGAGGAGCCCCGGGGGTCCCCAGGTTTGTCCTGCTTGGCGCACGCTGGGAGGTGGTCTAGAGCAAAGCTCTGGTCCCTCTCCAGCCCCACGCAACCAGAGTTGGTAGGCAGAACTCCGCCGGCACTTGCTGTCATCGTCTCTTGCGTTCTGGAGAGTGTTTCTCCAAGTGTGGTCCGCGGACCCGGCAGCATCCGCCTTAGCTGTTAGACATGCCAAGTTTGAGACCCTGAGTAACCCCAGACTCTGGGAATGGGTTTGCGAGCTCTTCGGGCGATTCTGGTGCGTGCTCCACCTGAAGGACTGCTCAACAAGTAGGGACAGGGCTGGGATTAGAATCTGGGGGAATTCAGTTCCCAAGCCTGGTTCTGAATCACCTGCCGGGGCCTGTGGCGGTGCTGGAGTTCAGAGGTGGCACTTTCGGGGCCCTTGGTGTTTGAGAAGTAGCGTGACTCCCAACAACCAGTAATTGGTAAGAATTTTGTTAGGATAATAATAATAATAATAATAATAATAATAATAATAAAGAATTTCAGCTGCCCAATTTGTTTTTCTTTCATCTGGTTCTTAAATTTTATTTCGAAGGCAGAGGGAGAGAGAATCTTGCATCTGTTGGGTTTACCACCCAAATATGCCCAACAGCTGGAGCTGGCAGCTCAAATCTGGGTGTCTGTGCAGCAGAAAACAAAGCTCAGCAGCCATCACCTGCACCCTCCCTGGGTGCTCTGTAGCAGAAAGCTTGATTCAAGAATGAGCTGGGGCTTGAACCCAGCCACTCTGATTAGAGATGCAAGTGGCCCAAGCTGTGCCAAACAGCCGCCCCCACAGAAATTTCTGGAAAGTTTCCCCTCGGATCCCTATGCAGCCTCTTGGCCCGCCTCGCTGCTGCCCCTTGCGTCACCCCGCCTGGGGGCCCCTTGTGCGGCTTCCACCTGCCCTTCTGTATCTGTCCCGAGACCCTCAGGTGTGTGGTGGTCCTGACCCAGCTGAGCAGCCTCCGTTCTTTGCTAGGACTGGACTGTGATGGCTAAAGGCCCCCGGCCCAGGAGGCTGCTGCCCCGGCCCTCTTGCCAGGAAGAGGGTCCGTTTGTGCTGTGTGGTGTATGTTCCGGGAGCAAATGACTCATCCGGGTTCACTCGAGCTGCTGACTCTGATTCTCGGCCTGCCTTGGAGTCGTCAGAAGAGCGAGCTGCCTGCTTGGAAGGGCGCACCCAGCCCCAGGGTGTCATCCAGTTCTGAGCAGTTCTGGCTTCACAGAAAGGAAGGTCTCAGGAGGGTGAGCCAGGGCGCGCCCCAGCCACCTCTGGTGGCAGACCGCTTAAAATGGTTTCTGTGAAGAAGTCAGACACACACGTGGTACACAGGAACAGGCACTGTGCAGAGATGCCCCTGCACTGCCCCCCTGCAGGCACCTTCCGTCCCCAGCCATGCCTCTCCTGACGTCACTCGGGGCTTTGCAGATGCTTTGGACTCTGGCGCCAAGACCCAGGCCGCCCCTTCTCAGGAAGTCCTGCGGCTTGCATCCCCCACCCCGGCGAGCTTTCGTGTCTCCGCCCATCGCAGGGCTGTTTTTAGTTGTGCCCAGTTGGACTTTTGGTATCTGTGTATTTCAGGGGGGAGGGGTGGGGTTTCCCCACCCGAAGGCAGGAAACGTGGTGGGGGGCAGATCAGATGAGGCAGGTGAGCCAAGGTTGTACCGAAAACCAGGGGCTGGTGCCGTTTGCTCTGGCCACACACCATCGCTGGGGAGGAGACCCTTCACCCCGCACTGCTGCTGGGTGGGACAGGGCGAGGGGCTGGCTTCACTTGGCTAAATTGGGGTTTACAGAAGGAGGTCTTGAGCTTGCTGGGATGGCGGGTAGGGGGCCCAGCCCGCAGCCCACAGCCTGCAGCCCACAACCCACAACTCCATTCCTGCTGCAGGAACTGAGCAAGGCGCTTTAACCTCCTTGCTGCCGTAAAATGAGTTAGGATTGTGTTAGAGCTCGAATGAATGGGCGGATGTGAGAATTTGACTATTCAGTCTGTCTGAACTTGCAACTTTTTGTTTGTTTGTTTTCTTTCTTTCTTTTTAAGATGTATTTATTCAGGGCCTGGCACAGTAGCCTAGTGGCTAAATCCTCACCTTGCAAGCTCCAGGATACCATGTGGGTGCTGGTTTGTGTCCTGGCTACTCCACTTCCCATCCAGCTCCCTGCTTGTGGCCTGGGAAAGCAGTCAAGGACGGCCCAAAGCCTTGGGACCCTGCACCTTGTGTGGGAGGCCCGGAAGCAGCTCCTGGCTCCTGGCTCCTGGCTCCTGGCTTCAGCTGTTGTGCCCACTTGGGGAGTGAACCAGCGGATGGAAGATCTTTGTCTCTCCTTCTCTCTGTAAGTCTGCCTTTCCAATAAAAATGAATACATCTTTTAAACACTTATTTATTCATTAGAAAGGCAGAACTACAGACAGAGGCACTCCCTCTCTCTGAGATCTTCCACCTGCTGGTTTATCCCCCAGATGATTGTAAATGGCCAGCGCTGGGCCAGGCTGAAGCCAGGAGCCAGGAACTCTATCAGAGTGTCAGGATCTCCAGCGTAGGTCCAGGGACCCCAAGCACTTGGGCCTTAGCTGCTTTCCCAGGTGTATTAGCAGGGAGCTAGACTGGAAATGCAGCATCTGGGACTTCGGCAGATCCTGACGAGAGGCAATGCAGGCAGCAGCTTCACAAACAGCACCATAACCCCAGCCCCCACCTCTTTGTTCAACCCGTTCCCACCCCCCAGATTCACAGCTCCTCCTTCTCACCCTATTCCCAATCCCAGAAAATAAGCAGTCAAAACTAAGGAGAGGTTTTAAAAATCCAAGAAGAGCTGTTTAGAATTCTGCCGTTTCCAGACTTTATAATTCGTGAGCCTCTATCTTTACTGCTGTAAAATGGCTGTATTATTATACTGTAAAATAATATAATTGGTTGTTAGATTTAATAGCAAAGCATTTGACCTAGTACCTGGTTTATAATAAGCACACAGTAAATGTTAGATTGTTATTATCCTTGTCTGCTTTCCTTCATTCCTTCTTGCTAGAGATCTCTGTGCCAGGAATTGGGTCAGATGCAGGGATACAGGAATCGATATGTCTGGTGACCTCTGCAGCCCAGAGCCTATCAGAGGAAGCTGATAAGTGTGCACAGGGTTTATGACCCTGGCAGGACCAGGACTAGCATGCAACAAGTAAGGCATTTGTGTCAGGTACAAAATTTAAGGAGGCATTAAAAAAAAAAAAAATCCAGTAACCGGGCCGGGCGCGATAGCCTAGCGGTTAAGGTCCTAGCCTTGAGCACTTGGGATCCCATATGGGCACTGGTACTAATCCCTGCAGCCCCGCTTCCCATCCAGCTCCTTGCTTGTGACCTGGGAATGCAGTTGAAGACGGCCCAAAGCCTTGGGACCCTGCACCCATGTGGGAGACCTGGAAGAAGCTTGTGGTTTAGCTTCAGCTGTTCCGGTCACTTGGGGAGTGAATATTGGATGGGAGATCTTTCTCTCTGTATCACCTCTTCATAAAATTTGATTTGGCTTTCCTATAAAGAAAAAGTAATCTTAAAAAAAAAAAAAAAAAGAAAAGAAGGAGAATGAATGGGTGGGGGCAGTATTGTGGCTCAGTGGTTTAGGCTGCTCCTGGCATTGCCAGTGTTTCATGATGGAATTACCAGTTTGAGTCCC